GACACCCTTACCCTTCCAATTTGAGTAGACCCAATTATATTTTACATATTGGTGCTAAATATTTGTTTAAATAATTTTTATGTTAAAAAGTGTGAGTAGATAACTAGTCCTGTTCCTTCATTTTAATGACAGAATGACTGAGTGCCAGAGTAGTAAAGTTCACTAGGACCCTGACTTTCTAACTTCACTGTTCAGTTAAATCACACTGCCTTCATGTGGCTTTGGGAATAGTAAAACTTAGCAATTTTCAGTAACAAACATTCAAAACAATATGTGATCTTGACATCAAGAATATTTCATGGACAATATTAATATATAGATCTGGAATCATAGTTAAATGAAAGTGATTTCATATGGGTACTTGTTTTATATTTTTTTTTTCTTTGAGTATTGAATGTGTTCATCATTCAAGCTCAAATAAGCTTTTATAATTTTTAGAGTTTGTTATCTGAACTTTTCCTCGAACTCTTAAAGCATGTTAAAGACCTTTTTGCTAGAAAATAGGATATGCTTCATTTATTTCTCCTTGTGCAGTGTAAGTTAAGTTAAACTGATTAAGAGCAGAAAATAGTTCTTTCAGTTACTAAAGTTTTATTAAATAAGTTTGATAAGTATGCAGTTTTTTGGTAAAGTAGTGTTTATGAAACTTGTGTGTTTTTTTTGCCATTAAAAACTCACTTTGTGACTTTTCACTAGGAATGAAATTAAAACCAAGATAATTTAGTATGATTTGTAATGATGTCTAATGAAATGATTAAGTAATAGTGTATAAAACAAATAGAAAACCTGTTTTATCGTTTGCAATAAATTGCATTCAGTCACACTTATTCTGGACCTGACTCTTTGGTAAGATGAATTTAAGATTTTTTAGTAACTAACTGTGGTAGTTAAGCATAATTGTATTAATTTAATTGGCTTGGGAGCTTCTGAGAAGATTAGTGAAACACATGTCTGGCTGTGTCTGTGTGGGTTATGGAGCCATGACCTTGAGTACTGGTCCCTTGTCCCCTCCTCTCAAGCACTATTTCCCTCTTTTGTTTCCTGGCCACCATTACCTAAATGTCTTTGTTCTACCACACTCGTTCACTGTATCTGCCTTTGAGCCAGTTGCCCATAGACTATATCCACTGCAAGTGTGGGCCAAATTAACCCTTTTTTCCTTTAAGTTTCGTGTGTTGGATATTGTATCTCTACTGAGGAAAGCTGAATAATGCAAAACATTTGTACTGAGGGTGGGGGGTGAGGTCATTGCTGTCACTATACCTGACCATATGGTGTACAAGCCTTTGGAACTGGCTTGCAGAAGGTTTTTTGGAAAAGTTTGGAGAAGCAGGCTGAAGAAACCCTGGAACAGTGATGGTGAACCTTTTAGAGCTTTCAGTGATAACAAATACCCACTGTTGCACATTGCCATAGGTTTGCCATCACTGCCCTAGGATGTTGTAAGCTGAACTTGATGGGTGATTTTGGTCAGAGAGTAGAAGATCAGAATGCTGATAGCAATTTGAATAGTAAAAGTCAGGCTCAAGAGGTTTTAGATTGGAATGAGGACTCTACTGGGAAATGAACTAGAGGCCATGCATGTTACATTGTGTAAACAATTTGTTTTTGTTTTGTCCATGTCCTAAGACTTTGTATGAGGATGAATTTAAAGATGGTTGACTAATTGATCTAATGGAGGAAAAATCAAGACAGTCCAACATTCAGGTGGTTGCATAGGTACTACTGGCTGCTTTTAGTCAGAATTATAGTGAGAAACAGGAGCAGAAGAATTTTAAAAGACAGAAATTTTTGATCCCAAAGGAATCATGTGTAAAATTGGATCTAAAGCAAGTATGGTTGCTGTAGAGATTAGTTCCAGTAGAAGAACTACTTAGTATAGGGACTAGAAGAAAGATGCCTCAAGGTCATCCCAGGAACCCACTAGACCTCACCCATTGAAAGTTCTAAGGTGCAAAAGTGTAAAGCTTTCATTTAGGAAGATTCTCTGGGTCTCCTTCTTGAGAAGGCCTGACCAAGGACTTGCTTCCCTGAGATTCAACCAGTGAGGCACTCATTGCTGCTGGCATGGTCCAAGATTGTCTGGCCACTCTCTGAACTGGTGACAGACCTTGGCATCATGCACATATTACTGATTTTACTGACACGTAGAATGCAAGAGTTGTTGAGTCAGGAAAGTTTCCACTGATTTCAAAGGAAAGCCTGGTGACTTTCTAAATAGTACTCTAGTAGCCCAGGAAATAATAGCAAGAATCAACAAATGGAACTATATCAAATTAAAAAGCTTCTGCATAGCAAGAGAAACAACTAACAAAGTGAAGAGACAGCTTACAGAATGAGAGAAAAGTCTTTGCTAGCTCCTCTTCAAATAGCCCAGTCACTAAATAGGCAAATGGACTGAATGGGTACTTTTTAAGAGAAGTACAAATGGACAATAAGTATATTAAAAAATGTTCAACATCTTTAGCCAACAGGGAAATATAAACCAAAACTACATTGAGAATCCATCTGACCACCACCAGACTGGCTGTCGTCACGAATATAAAAACAGTAAATGCTGATGAGGATTTGGGTAGAAAAGAACCATTTTACACTACTGTTGGGAGTAAATTAGTACAACTGCTCATCAATATGACTTTCGTGAAAAAATTTAAAAATAGAACTACTGTTTCATTCAGCTGTAGCACTCCTTGTTATATGCATAAAGGAAGTCAGCATACTCATGTAGGCTGAATACCTGCATACTCATGTATATTGTGGCATAATTCACAATAGCCAAGATATGAAACCAGCCTAGATGTCCATTAGTAAATGAATGGATAAAGGAAATGTGGTATATTTATACAATAGAGTAATATTATTCAGCTTTAAAGAAGAATGAAATTTTGGCATTTTTCAGGAAAATGATTGGCTCTGGAGATCATCATGTTGAATAAAAAAAGCCAGACTCTGAAAGGCTTATATTGCATATTCTCCCTATTATGTGGAATCTAAAAAAGGTGAATGAAATCAGAGTGGAGGCTATTATTAGACAAGAAGAAAGGAATAAAGGGGAGAGTGAGGATGTGGAAGGCAGTGTAATAGGAAGGATATATATATATATATGTATAATTAAAATATATGTATTGAAACCTGTTACTTTAAAAACTAATAGGCACTAGTAAAAACAAAAGCAAAAAACCCCCTGCAAAACCACTTCTCT